CTTAAGCACAATCAAGCGTTCTGGCTGAGGCCGTTGATTGCATGGGAAGAGATTGCCAATCCTTTTCCGGCGGAGCAGCTAGAAGATTTGAACTATTTGAACTATAAGTCCACCAATGTTATGTTACAAACAACTGATTTTCTAGAGGATCTTTTTGACTAAGTAGTAGATGCCACTAGAATTTAAGGAGCTCTGGTGGCCTAGTGGTCAAAAAGCTGTGCTGCAATCCCTAAGGCATCCAGTTTGAGGCCACCAGCTGCTCCTTGGGGAAAGGGTGGACTGTCTTCTCTGGGGTGATTAACTGCTTTTGGAACCCCCTGGAGAGTCAGCTATGAGTTGGTTCTGACTCAATGGTACACGACAACAACAAAGCTACACAGAGGGAACCCTGATGTTGTAGTCCACAAGGAGGTGCACTGCTGACCCATAAGTCCCACTTCAACTCAGCTGCCATGAGTTTACATAATCTCTTAGAAGTCTTAGTGGCACAGCAGCTAAGCACATAACTGCCGCCCAAAAGGTTCAAACCCGCCTGTCCCTCCGTGGGAGAGAGATGTGACCGTCTGCTTCTAAAAAGGCTTGCAGCTTTGGAAACCCTGTGGAGTAATTCTTTTCTGCTGTGTAGGGAGATGGGACCACAATAGCAGTAGATTTGCTCTTTTTTGTTTATATAACCTGTTGTTGTTGTGTACTGTCATCGGCACTGACTATAGCCTACCCTCTTACAGATTTTCAGAGATAGTAAATTGCGCACAAGAAAATTGCCCATCCTTCTCCCACAGAGAAGCCAGTGGGTTTGAACCACATGCCTTCAGGATCTAACATTCCTTTATGGGATGGAGGGATGATATAGAAAGACTATCTTGTTTCCCTAATATTTTGTTTTCTTCACAGATGCTCTTAACAGTATTGAGAATTCCATTTACAGAACAGCTTTCAAATTACGATCTGTGCAAACTCTGTGTCAATGTAAGTACAGCCTTTCTTGAATCCTTTCAAATATTCTACTACTGATGTGTAATGTGAAGTTTATAAAGAAAACAAAAATCCTGTGAGTGAGTGACCCCATAGGCCTGAAATACTAGACCTCTGCATTTATCTTCCTGTTTAGAGGGGAGTTAGTAGAGAGTAAGGGGTTTAGGTGAGTCAGAGACAGTGTGATTGGCACAGGATAGAACAGCGTTTAGGGCTATTGTACATAGGGTTGCTATGAGTCACAGCTGACTCGACAACACATAACAACACCACCATATCAGTGTACCATGTGCATTCAACCTGTATAGGACTTCCTGACTAACAATAGAAAATAATTTGTGGATGAACATTTTCAATTTTTAAGTATTTTTCCTACTTGTTGTAGATAGCTGTTGACTCGAGTATGACGCATAGTGACCCTATGAACAAAAGGCCTGAAGTTTTTCTATAATGTCATTTCTCAAAGTTCATAGAGTTTCTGGAGGCATGTTGTTTAGGAAGTGGATGCCACTAGAGTACCAATATTGACACAAAATAAAATTGCAAAATAATTTACAATCTTTACTTCTAAATTTAAGGATGAAATTTTAAGATTCCGTTTAATAAGCACTTTTCAACTGTACCACCTCTCTAGATCTGAATATCCAAAACTAAGTTCAGGCAAATAGTCCACAAGTCATAAATTTAAAATCCAGGTGGACTGACACAGTAACTACAGCAATGGGCTTGAGGGTGTCAGAGGTTGTGAGGTTGGTATAGGATAGGACAGGATATGAGTCACAACTCATCTTAGGGACACCTAACAACAACAGCATTATACATTTCAAACTATCTTGAGAATTATTTTGAGAACTGCTGCTACAGATTTCCTTTGCTTTAATGTTATTTGAGAAGCTCGGGCGGCCTTATCTGTGGAAAGTTGCTTTGCTAACTCAAAGGCCACAACTCTCTGGTGATTTGAATACACCAGTGGCTTCAGGGGAAAAAGAATGGCCAGTATCCTCCCATTTGGTGTACAATTTCAGAAATGCAGTGGAAAGTCAGCTGTGAGCCAGCTCCAACTTGACGGCAATGAAAGAGGGAGAGAGACACACAGAGAGAAAGGGTGAGGGATAGAGAGGGAGGAAGAAGGAAGATGAGAGAGAGAGAGAGAGAGAGAGAGAGAGAGAGACAGAGAGAGAAGAGGTGGGGAATAGAGAGGGAGGAAGGAAGAAGACGAGAGAGAGAGTCCATAGTGTGCTGCATTGCTAACCAAAGCTGAAACTCTTCAGGGCAGTTCTATTTTGTCCTGAAACACACTTGATTCAATGACAATAGGTTTGGTGTTTTATTTATTTAGTTTAAAAAAATCAAGGAGAAATGTAGTGAAAACATTCATACTGCAAAAATTGTCCAGAATCAAATTATTGTTTTCTAAGGCACTGCGTTTGACTCAATTCTGACCCTCAGCAATTGTCAGGTTTCTAAGAGTACAACTTCACACACACACACACACCCCATCACCTCCACCACCACCACAGATACTACATATATCCAGAGTTACTTATTTCTGCTAAGTCCCCTATGGCATGAATAGAGTACTAATGAAATGGTTTCTTGAGATAGATCAGACTAAAAGTTGTTCAGGGTATGACATTCCTAAGTTTATTTTATACCTAACACAACTGTGCTTGACGAATGCGAGAAAGGACTAGTTACGTACTTGCTACAGAAGATCAAGGACTGCAGTGTTCATAATGGATTGCATCTCAGCAGCAAATAAATAAAGATCCTCGGCCCTGGCCCAAGAGACAGCATTGTGATAGAGAAAGGACTGAAGTTATTTTTTATTTTTTTAAAAATTTATTTATTATGCAATATTCCCCCCAGACATTCCCTCATTGACATTATGTTTCATGCAATCATTCCCATACATTGTGTTTTTTTAAATTAAATTTTATTAATTTTAATGAAAATTTACAGAGATTGTGGGTTTCCATTCATTCATTGTTGCACTATTTAGGACTGAAGTTATTAATGATTGCCTCTTGCTCAGATCTACAACCAACACCCTGGGCAACAGTAGTCAGGAAATCACATAACAAGTTGCATTGGGGAAAATCTTCTTTCCGAGGTCTCAATAGCAACTATGTCATTCTAAAGACTGTTTATGTTGTCATTGTGGTTGTGTACCTTTGAGTTGGAACCAACTCATAACCAACCCTCCAGTGAGTTTTCAGAGACAGTAAACCACACAGGAAAAGGTTACCCATCTTTCTCTCCTGGAGAAGCTGGTGGGTTCCACGTGCCTGCAGGATTGCAGTGTAATTTCTACCCACTAGGCCACCAGATTGTTTGCTATGTATCTGAAAACTGGACAAGGACTAAGGATGTCAGAAGAATCAATGCCTTTGAGTTGTGGTGTTGGAGAAGAGTACTGAACATGGTCTGTTAAAAGGACAAACAGATCTGTCCTAGAGAAGGTGAAACTGGTTATTCCTTAGAGGCAAGGAAGGTGAAACTCCATCTCACATACTTTAAGCACATTTTCAGGAGAGGCCAGTCCTTGGAAAAGGGCATCATGTGTGGAATGGTAGAGGGTCAGGGAAAGAGCAGAAGAGCCTCAACCAGAGGAATTGACACCGTGATTGTGGCAATGGTGTCAGATGTGTCAGAGATAGTGAGGTCGGCTTAGGATAGGGCCAGGTTCAGAGCCCTTTACAAAGGGTTGCTATGAGTGATAGTTGACTTGACAGCAGATAACAACCATAGCAAATGAGTTATAGGGAGCTCTGGTGGCTTCTGTGGTAAGAAGTTATGCTGCCAACCCAAAGGCACATGGTTTATATCCACCAGCTGCTCTCAGGAAGAGAGATGGATGATCTCCTCCAGTGTGATTTACAGCCTCTGAAAACTTGACAGAGAGTCACATGGCAACGACAGCAGTAAGTTAGAAGGGCCTAGTAGCTATGGGGTTGGTCTGCCAACTCAAAGACAGTCACTGGGAATCCAGCTACTTTTTTGGGAGAAAAATGGACAATTTCCTCCCTTTGAGTTTCCAGTGATGACAATTAGAGTGTTTTTTTTTTTATTAAATTATCCAAAGCAGTGGTTTTCCAAGTTTGCTTTATGAGATGTGCATGGATGTGAGACTGGCCCTCAAAGAGTAATGGAGGTGAGAAAGGGAGGGTAGGCCACCTGGGGAGCCTCAAGGTTCATCTGTTCACCCAGAACACGTGCTATGCTTCCCTGTGCACACCTTTTATAAAACAAACCCTTGGATTTAAAAAAAAAAATCACTGATCTAAACAAATAAACTTACGTTCTACTTATTTCTTATCGTGCAAGGGATCAAGAAAAGGCAGAATTTGGCCACTAACAATTTACCCTCATTCTCCTTTATACTATTTTCTGGGAGAATTATTTCTTCCATTAATGAAAATATTTGCAAGTCTCCCTTATTGATATGTCGATGTCGCTGGGTAATGTAAATGGTTAAGCTTTTGGTTACTCACTGAAAAGTTGGTGTTACAAGCCCACCCAGAGGTCTGTGGGGTGGGGAGGTAAGTCTTGTCAATCTGTTTCTGAGAGACCACAGCCACGTGAACCCCATGGAGTGCAACCCCAATCATATCATACCACACAAGGGGTCGCTGCAAGTCAGCATTGTCTCAGCAGCCACTACTTTGGGATATTTTTCCTCTTTTTTGCTTCTTATATACAACAGTATGATTCAAGAATGCGAGTGGCATCCACTTCCTAAACAGCATGCCTCCAGGAACTCGATGAACTTTGATAAACGTCAATAGTTGTAGAGGGGCTTCAGGCCTTTTGTTCATAGTGTCTCTCTGAGTCGTGCTCGACTTCAAGGCAATCAGCAACAACAGCAACTAGTTTCAGAAACAGTGAATATATACTGAAAGGTGGAATGAACAAGTCACATCATCAGTTGAATATAATTCAACAACAATAACAAATATCTCAGTAGATGACATGAGCTCCAAAGGGCAAGATCTGGAGGGTGTCCTGAATAAACGTGAGGAGATGAGTGGAGACCACCACAGATTGTGTACAGTTTTCAGAGGAGCCCCAGGTGTCCTGTTTACAGAATGCCTGGTAGCAGCAATAGGTTGTTCTGCAGCCTTTATCACTTGTGGCTGTTTTCATTCATGTCACATCCCCAAAACCTGCTTCTCCCTTGCTGTGACTTAGGATCAGTATCAGACAACAAGTAAAAAAGTTTATGATACTTGCTAGACTTTCTTATCTGAGACGTAGATTTATGAAGCTGAGAGAAGGAAGGATTTTTACCATTTCACAGGCTGAAGCGTGTCAAATGCCAGCAGCTCTTTGTGCTCCTGATGTCCCCACCTCTCACATGGGAAAAGTGGGTGTTATTTTGTCTGTCATTTTCTTTTCTTGAGAAATTGTAGGATTAGTTCCATTTCATTCTTCCTGCTATTCATTGCCCTGTAAAAAATTTTAGGGCAAACAGGCTCAGCTAGACAGACAAATACAGGCAGACAGACACAAATTGACAGACAAATAGACACAGACAAAAAGGCTGACAGACATATGCAGATAGACACAGAGACAGACAAAGACAGAATAACAGACAAATGGACAGAAAGAAAGATAAAGACAGAGAAACACAGACAGGCACACAGGCAGATAGACTCAGGTGTGTGTGTGTGTGTGTGTGTGTGTGTGTGTGTGTGTGTGTGTGTGTGTGTGTAGTTGTAAGTTAACTGCCATTGAGTTGACTATAACTCATAGCATCCCTAAAAACAATAGGTCTGAGTCCTGCCCTAGCCTGTGCTATCCTCATTATCTTTGATATTGTCTAACCCATTATTAAGTCACTGTGTCAAGCCATCTCATTGAGAGTTTTTCCCCTCTTTCAATGATCCTCCACCTTTCCAAAAACACTTCCAAGCATTGAAGCTGATCCGCTAGTAGGTTTTCAGAGGCAGTAAATTGTACTGGAAGAGATTACTCATCTTTCACCTGTGAACCAGCTGGTGGTTTTTGGTTTTGTTTTTTGGTCAGCTACTCTGGTTTTACTGAATGCTTTTTGTAGATAATGATACTTACTGGTAGAACCAAGATCATTAACTGAAGCTGGGTGGGAAGGGGGACCTAAGAATTTGAGATTCCAGCAGTTACTAGTTTGTGAAGCTCACTACATCTTCAGATTATCCAGTATTGCTGCTATTGGTAGGTGTCATTGAGTTGATCTGACTCATAATGGACCAGGGTAACAGAGTAAAACGGCATCATCTGGGCTCCTGGCTGAAAGGTCAGCAGTTCAATCCCTGTAGCCACTCCAAGGAAAGTCCCCTCCTGAAAAGATTTATAGTCATCAAACCCCAATGGAATGTCACTGTGAGTTGAAATTTACTTGACGGAATAGGTTTAGCTTGGTTTATAAACTAGATCCTTGTTCTATGAAACCACTGCCTGAACGTCAATCTTCTCATTAGCAGCTAATACATAACTACTGTACCACTAAGGCTCCTTTGAAACACATTATCATCAATGAGAAGAAGACCCTCAGCCAGGTAGATTGACACAGGGATTGATGCAATGGGCTCCAGTGTGTCAGGAAGTGTAAGGATGGCACAGGATAGAATGGGGTTCAGATCCGTGGTTCATAGGGTTGCTATGAGTCGTACTCAACTCAACAGCACCTAACAACAACAACAACAGTCTCATGTCATAGTACATTATAACACACCATATTCTTTCTGAAGTTAGGTATAATAGCTTCTCTCAATAGATACTTACATGAATCCAAGTAAAACTATATTTCAATAAGAAGGGTATATTTTCTCAGTATATTTAGTGAGTTGGAGAAATTTCTTTCATTGTCTTCATTGAAATTTTTCATTGAAATTTCGTTCAGTGTCTTAACTTGTTTGGGAGGCTACTTTTTCATATGTATTGTTTCTCCTTTTAACTTCATTCTCTAAAACAGTCATCCTGGCTGCTGGCTTAGTGAGCATGTTATGACCATGCTTAGACAACAGATACACTCCTCAAAAGTCAAATTGAATGTCAAAATAGTTTCGCCTGAATCATATACAAGGGATAGGTGTCGAAACAATGGTCACATTTCATTCTCTTTCAAAGAAAACTGCTGCATAAAAGGACTCTATTGAACAGCATTTACTTTTGAATATCTATTGAATAAAGCATTTGCTTAATTTCAAGCTTTTGGTTCTACTGAGCAAACAAGATGCTGTTCTCCAATTGCTTCCCACAGTGGACTTGATCGACAGCTCCCTAGTCCATCACCTCCTACGACACCAACGCTTCTGGGAACTGAGAGAGAGCGTCCTCTCTGTGCAGCAACTTTTCCAGACTCTCCAGGAGCTATTTGAGAGAGTCCGAGTGGAAAAACCAGGACAGATGCATCCCAGATCTTCAGAACTCACTTTGAGCCTTCTTATGGCCATGTATGACAGGTGAGAGTACTAGTCCCGGGGTAGGATCAGAAGGTCAGTCATTAGTCACCACTGGTCAGTAACCATTGGGGGATACTTGGCTATCTACTCCCATAAAGTTTAAGCCTAGAATAATATTGGAGGGCAGTTCTACTCGCTTACATAGGTCACTATGAATCGGAACCCACTCAACAGCCACTAACAATAGCAGTGTTTGCTTAGAGATACTGGCTAGTGCATATTTTGAATATACTTGCCTTGAAATCATAAGGGTTGAAAGTTCAAGTCGACTCAGAGATCATTCAGAAGACCAGCTTGATGACTTAATTCTGAAAAAGCAAGTGAAAGCTTGTGGAATGCAGTTCTATTCTGACAACTCTGATGTAAGCGGGCTCACCATCACTTGGAACTGACTGGATGACAGCTAGAGCTAGAGTGTCTGTCTAGAGTTTGGTGTGTGAGAGGACATTACTGGCTGATTGCTTATGTCCACGAATGTTTTAGGCATCAAGGGGGAGAATAAAGACATACCTGCTTATCAGAGTCACTAAAATAGATGATACCTTTTCCTAGGGTCTTTACACATCTATACATATGGGAAAAGACCTCCCCCCTTTTAGTACCCAGTAGTCTTCTTTCTTCCTTCATCTGAGTGCTCCCCATTATCAGTTTGTGTTATATGTGCTTGCTGGAGTGAGGATGCATATTTTGGCTAATTTAGACCATCCCCAATGCTATCACTGGAGGGGGTGTGTGTGTGCATGTACGCACCTGCTCACATACAGCTGTGTGCATGTGTGTTTCTCTTAAGTATTTCATTGCACTGTAGGGTGTATTTATTCTTCTGACCCACTCTATTTACCGTATGGAGTCCTGGCCTATAGGCTTCATCCTTTGTGACTGCCTTTTAAAAACTCATGATGAAAGCAAAACACTGGGAAAGTGAAGAAAAGAATAAAGTATTATCCACGATTCCCACTAACCATTATCCGATTTGCCATTTAACAAATTCCTTAGAGTTGGCTTTTTGTCTAGTTTATTATTTTATTTTTGTGATTGCATAAGTAAAATCTAAACACATTCACAAGTTATTTCTAATGTCCTCAGCCTCCTTAAATATTAGACTTTGAACCCCCACCTCTACTGATGTCTTTTGATCCTGTCTCTGTTGTTTGATCTCCAGGCGACTGAGTTCTGAAGAGCTGGCATTACCAAGAAGATGGGGTTTTCCCTGTACCCCCAGTGCTCAGTACTACTGTGATTCTTGTTGTTGTTGGGTGCCATCGAGTCAACTACAACTCTCAGTGATGCTCTAAACAACTGATAGAAACCTTCTATCCTGTACCATCCTCCTGATCCCTGTCACATGCAAACCATGTCATGTCTCAAATGCCGTTAAATAAGTGAGTGGTGAATGTTTTAACTCAGTGTATATGCCTCTCTTTGTGAGTGTCTGTCCCACTGTGTCTGTGCCTTAGGGTGTGTGTATGTGTATTTGATGCTGTCAAGTCACCTCTGAGTCATGGGGATCCCCTTCACCGCAGAAGTTCTGCCCAGTCCTGTGACTCCCTCCCAGTCGCCTCCCAGTCAGCATGTTCCATCATCATGGTCACCGTGCTAATCTGTGTACCTGAGGACCTTCCTTGCCCTCGCTGGCCCCGTGCTTCCCCAACGTGGTTCCATCCTGTGGCTGATCCTCCTGATGATGAACCCAAAGCCTGTGAGTCAGACCATGTCCAGTTGTAACCCATCGGGTTTTCACTGGCTTATTTCAGAAGTGGAACTACAGGCTTCCTGGTCCGTCTTTGTCCGGAGGTTCCACTGGAACCTGACCGCAGTGGGTGATTCTGCTGGGATGTGAAATACCAGTGGCAGAGTTCCAACACTCAGGCTACACATTGATGGATGCATGGGAAAACTCAAAATTTGATTCTGTCAAATTCTAGATTTAGGAGAGGGGATGACTCCAGAAAGTTAAAACTTATGTAAGGAATGTCCATCACAGTGTCCATTTTAATAAACCCTGTCGGTAAGCCTGCCCTCCCATTCTCGTCTCTGTCTGTCCTGCAGCACCGGGACGGGTTTTCTCAAGCTGACGTCTGCAGCTGCTGCCCTCATTGCGCTCTCTGGGGACAGTCCTCTAACCAAATACAGAGGTGAGATGCCTGGGCTGTTTGAATCTCTTAGTTCAGATCCCCCCAGATCTCCAACACCTTGTCCCTCCACTCACCCTGTCCACACTACAGTAGCTGTTTTTCAGTATGTGTGCTGCGTGACTTACATGTTTGGCGAGAAGATGTTTAAGGGTTAGGAATTTAGAATATTTCAAGATGTCTGCACTTTCTAGTTATTTACCACGTGACTGATTTTGATCATTTGCTTAGGGATTCCTCAGACAACAATAATTATTATCCCTTTGAGGGACCCTTGGTGATGCAGTTAAAGGATTTAATTGCTAACCAAAATGTTTAAACGTGCTAGCCACTCTGTGGGGGAAAGACGTAGCAGTCCCCATCAGTGAAGGCTTCCAGACATGGGAATCCCATGCGGCAGCTGTACTCTGTTTACGGGATTATCATGAGTGGATTTTTGGTAATATTTTAAAGACTACAATTACCCTCACATTGCTGTTTACCAACCTCAGGGACTTAGTGTTAATATCTCTCTCTCTCTCCTCCTCCTCCTACTCCTCCTCCTCCTTCATAGGTATATAATTCCCCCATCCCCCCCCCACCCCCTGCACTGAGTACACTTCTCTATGCAACCTTAATTCTGGACTCCTGTGATAACCATAATACTCAATCGTATATCGCTTCTAATCTGTTCTTTCCCTTATCTGTTTCAGTACAGTATACATAATTTATCCAGTTTTTCTCAATCCTACCCCAACCCTGATGTTAGTCCCATTCTACAACAGTGGCACTATGCAGTATTTGTCCCTTTGTGACTGAGATATTTCACTCAGCATAATGTCCTCCTCTCTCTCTCCTTTTTGAAGAGTGATGGTGTCCTTGTGGTTCTCCAATACCGCAGTTCAGAGGCACTGGTTCTTCTTCTGTCATTCTTTGCCCAACTTTTAGATGCATAGGAAGCAATTGAAAGGATCATGGCTTAAGTCAGGCACAACTAGTCTTATAACTGACATCATTGCTCTTTGGCACTTTAGAGAGGTCCTCTACTACAGATTTTCCAGTGCAACATGTCTTTTGATTTCTTGATTGCTGTTACATAGTGTTGCTTGTGGCTCCAAGTTCGTATTATAGATGTAGCTTTTGTTCAACCGAAAGTTGTGTCACGGGGGAGTTAAGTTTCAGGCTCAGAGGGCTGGCCATCCTCTTAGATTGTTCAGTAGTCAACAAATTGGGATGTGAATGGATTTTCATTATCAAATGATCTCATTTTGCATGTCTTCAAAACAATAAGAAGAAAATAATCAAGAATATAGCTTGGAACTATATGCCTCCATTCCTTTTATATCCAGAAAGAAACTATTTAAACAGAAAGCACATACTTTCCAAAGACATATTGCAAGTATTCAGCATAAAGTTTTTATTCCCCTTTATGCATCCAGCTCTTTTTCAGCTCTATGCAGAAAACAACAGGGGCCGTTATGAATCTGAGCCACGCATGACACGAAGGATTCTGAGGAACCTGCTAACTGATCTTCATCAGGTAAACCCCTAATATGTAAGAGTTTAAATGTTTCCATTGTAATAGCCTCAATTGTTATTAAGAAACCTGATTTTTACTGTGTTGAATTGCTGTAGCTCTCATCACAAGCCTTCCGCTCTCTAAAGACCCCTGTAATCTGAGTATACTTAAAGCAAAAACATCTGCAGACAATTAAATGTCAATTCACAGTGAGTCAGTGCCTGGGAGATTAGACCTGTTCTCCATAGGATTTTCAGTGTTTGGTTTTTCAGTGAGTCAATGCCTGGGAGATTAGACCTGTTCTCCATAGGATTTTCAGTGTTTGGTTTTTCAGTAGATGACACCCAGGCCCTTCTTCTGAGGTGCCACTGAGTAAACTCACTCTGTATCTTTTGGTTGGTAGCCAGTAAGTAAACCATTTGAACACCCAACCATATTATCAAATATCTACAGAGGTGGAAAATAGCCTCATAAACATATATAGCTATAGGTTCCAGTAATCTCCACTGAAAAATCTCTTTTGGCCTCTTGCTTATTCCATAGTATTTTTCTTTTAGTCTTTGTACCCTTTTACTCCAAATGTCACATTCAAGTGCACACTCTCCCTGACATGCTCAAGTCCACCATGCTTGATTTTTATTGGTCATTCTACAGCAATGATATGATTTGGCCTTCCACTTGACAAAGCCTGTTCTTCTTTGAAGATCATTGAACTGTCTCAGTCACTTACTCATAAAAGGTGTTTTTAACTCCCTGTGCACATCACTGTGTATAACTCTATTAGAGCCCTTGACAAATTTTATTGCAATTACTAAGTACTTGTAAGTTTCCCCACTAAGCTGCACCCCCAGGATTTGTATCTCTTTTTAATGTTTGTTTTGTATTGGTTTGCATACAAAATTAATATACATTGTTTTCATTCACACATTCCTTCCTTCACATTATGTTTCATGCGATCATCTCCACATATTTTGTTTTATACAATTGATCATCATTGATATATGCCCACTATTCCCTTACCTTTTCAGGTCCCTATTGGATCTTTCCTAATTCCTTCACCCCTTCCCACTGCCCACCAAACTCTGCAACCCTGATTTTCCACCACCCCCCATCCTCAGTCCTCCTACTCCCTCTCCTTCCCCTTTTGGACTTTTATATACATCTTACTATTTATCCTTCTATTTTTACAATAATGGTCTTATGCATTATTTGTCCGTATGAGACTCAGTTAACTTAGCACAGTGCTTTCCAGTCTCTCCCATTTCATAGGTTTCAAAATTGTTGCATCTCAGTGCTGCATAATATTCCACTGGGTGAATGTACCACAATTTCTCAATCCATTTATTTGTTGATGGACAGTGGGGCTATTTCCATTTTCCTGCTATTGTGAATTCTTAAGAAAAAGGGTTGTATCTCATTCATGTATCCAGTACTTTGAACAACACCTAGAAGGCCTTTAATAAATACTTCCTGAATGCATAGGTGAAATGCCTCTAGTGTTAAGAAAATGTTCTCTTTTCTGTCCTTGCCAGAAAAGGAATTTAACTCCTTACAGTAAAGATAGTCCTTAATGTTGAAATGATGTAAACTGATGTAACTGCAAGAAGTTATGAAAGGGACAGAGCAGGCTCCACACTGTGTTGTGTCTAATTGTTTCCTTCTCAAAGATACCTCTTACCCTGTTTTAAAGATGTCACTGGTGTTCTTTAAACCAAAATCATGAATCTGTGCTTCTTGCAACTGTTAAACAAGAGCGTTTTCCTAGGTAATTTTCTGTCATTTACTACTGGGTCTGTACCAAGGATTCTGAAGTAGGAATAGTCATGACAAGGGTATCAGTAAGGAAAAGGATCAGAATCTCACAGTAAATGTGCTTTAGAAAAACATACAAAACTAACTCTGCTTTGGTTTGGTCTTAGTGTTAATCATTTATATCCATTTTTATATTTCATTTATTTGGAAAGTCCAAGCCATTTTTAAGATTCAAGTTTCTTAAATTGAATGATGATTTTTAGACAAAATGGAGAGGATTAAAATAGCAGGTACTCCAGAGGTGCTGTGGAAGTTACAGCAGTCCACAGAGTCAACCCCTGGTTGTGTGATGACCCTTGAGTGCTTGACGCAGAGCTGTGTGACAGGCGCTTGCACCCACAATCCTGAGAGCCGGTAGGTGGTCTGGAAGTTGGGGAAATATTAGCTTATTTTTTATACCATAGTCTTGAAAGGCTAGTTGTTGTGTTGTTGTTGTTATTGTTTGCCATCAAGTTGGAACCAACCCATAGGTGACCCCCCCACACACACCTCCGCAGTGTGTTTTCAGAAGCAGTAAATTACATAGGAGGAGGCTGCCCCTCCTTCTCCTGTGAAGCAGCTGGTGGATTCGAACCACATGCCATGAGGATTGCAGTGTAGCTTCTTATCATTAGGCCACCAGAGCTCCCTTAAAAGAGTGGTGTGTGGAAAATGGTTGGGTGCCATTGTGTCGATTTCTACTCACAGTGGCCTTATGTGACAGAACGGCCCCAGATGGTTTTCTAGGCTGTGTAAGCTTTACAGCAGCAGAAGGCCAAGTCTTTCTTCCATGGAACTGCTGGGTAAGCTCAAGCCACCAACTTTTCTGCTGTACCACCTGGACTCCTTATTTTAAAAAGTGGACTTAGGAGAGGAGATGGGATGTTCCATCTTACATAAACATCCCTCTTCCTGATCCCTGCAGCTTGCCCCAGGCCAGTAGCTGGTCCAACAAGCCCTCAATGCCCGCCCTTGCTCAAGGCTCAGCTGAGTCGTGAGTTGCTGAGTCAGCAGTTTGTGAAACACTATGTCCCTCAAACTTCAGTGAGCTCCGGAGAAAACTGTTAAGGGAGACGGCAATTTGTGAAGCTAATTATCATCCTCTTGACTTCCATTATGAAATCAAAGATTGATGCCCATAGAACATTCCAGACCCCATGCTATGATTCAAATTCCCACTAAGAATCTTAATTATCATTTCCAGTGGCATTCTCCGTGCCAGCCTGCCAGCTAGCCACATTTAAGTCTCCCACAGAACACCTGCAAGAAATCAGTCAATGGGCAATTAAACCATAACATTTTCGTGCATGTACTTAAAACCAAAAATGAAGGTTGAAATGCGCCATAGAAGGGAATTGTGTTTTGGCTATTGTCACCCTTCTCTTCCTTATATGAGGGATTTCAAGCCCCTAGCCCAGGGTTTACACTCTGCAGAAGAATATGAATGTTGAAGCAGCCACATTGTCTATGCTGGTTATTTCAACAGCACTCACAGGCTCCAAAACCAACAGTGAGCTTATTTTTCAGACAAAGGCCAGATAACATATGGAGCAGTTACTTACGATCTGACTGAGGCTATTATCAATTTAAAGTACAAGCCATCTTGTCCCCATTACACAAATGTTTGTTGACTTCTGCCTGGCTAATTGTCAGCCAAGAGGCTCTAAGTGCCACTTTGCTGATTAGAAGAATGTTTATTGGAGTTGATGGACTCAGCAGGGGAAGCTTTGAAATTACCTCTGAGGTGGCAGCCAGTGCCTGAGGCCTAGATGACACCAGACTTGCCATCACATCGCATGACAGAAAGGGAGTAAGTGGAGGTGACAGGTACACGTATCTGAACAGATAAGATAGTGTCTGACACAGGTCCTTGGCCATCTTGGCAGTCATGGGGGTTCTAATCTCTTAGTTAGACTCCATATGGTGGCTGTGGTTGAAAGATGGAAGCCAGAGTCAAGTGGTTAAGACTGAGCCAGTGGAATCCATATAAGACCAGGGTGTGGCAAAGCTCAGGGAAAGCCTCTGCAAAGAACAAGGAGTCCTGGAGTTAGACTCCCATTCTCTACTGTGCCTATCTCGATCAGCTCTTACTTCAAACAGGATACAAATCACCACCTCTCCACTTGAGAAACCGGCATTTGTTAAAGTGAGATGAAGTGAATACATTTGAAAAGGTTGTCTTGAAAACAACAGTAAACTACAAATGCATTGTCAGTGAGTGCTATCTGCATTTCATAAGTAAACACTTCCCTCCTGCCACCAGCCCCACTTCCTTCCACCTGCTCATTTGTGCTCTCAACTCAAGCACATTGCAAAAGTTACGCATTGCTTTTGTTAGCTCCAGCTGAGACAGATCCTCCGGTCACAGAAACTAAACACCTGTGACTCCTTGGACGTGGACACTCACAGTCCTTCAGGCCTGCAGACCCTGAGGGCCACTTGGTTCTCCATTGGCTAACAACTGACCTGGGGCCTCTTCCTTCTTGCAGATCCCAACTGTGGTGGGGGAGAGCCGTGCTCTGTGCTCTGTGGAAAGCGCTACACGCAGCTGCTTTCAGGGGGTGAGTGCAGTACCTCACAAAGATGCCTCAATCCTTCGCTGACTACTTAAATGTTATTGTTACTAGGTGCCGTTGAGTCAGTTCTGACTCAGAGTGACCTCACATACAACAAAATGAAACAGGGCCCAGTTCTGTATCAACTTGGCTGTGTTTGAATGCACTGTGTCCACCCATCTCAGTAAGGGTCATCCTCTCTTTTGCTGAACCTCCATTTATTTTTTTTTCTATAATTATATTTTATTAATTTTCATAAACATTTACAGAGATTTGGGGCTTCCACTCATTCATTGTTGCACTATTCTCTCTACCCTCCTCCCAGTTTGTTCTTGTCCAAATGCCACAGTGCTTGTCAAAGCCAGTTCTGATTAATCTTCTTTGTCAGTGTATCCTTTGCCATTCCCTATCACTCCTCCCTGAGAGAGACTTCACCCTGAGTCATAAGGAAAAGGGGACGGCGTATTCTCTTAGCTACTTCCTGCTGAAAAGGGACGCTGTGGGTTTCAGGGTGAAGATCTTCTCTCACTACTCTAAAGGGCCCCTTTGGCAGTAGGAAACACATAGACTATTATGGAGATTGATTTTGGAATTCAGATGCACTCTTATTGATTGTGCTTGGCTGTACATGTACATATCCTTCAAGATGTATCATGGGGGTGTTGCAACCTAGAAGACACAAATTTGACTAACAAGTTATAAGTACATGAGTCCAAAAATTATGGAAAAGTAAAAGAAAAGATTCTTTCATTGTTTTACAAACCCTCCCCCAGGTCCCCTCCACCATGCAGCCCTCGCTCTAGTCTCCTGTGATGACAGAAATACCCAGTTACATCTCCCTTTTAAACGGTTCTCTCCCTCCTCTGTTTCAGTGCAGTATACATTATTGAACCCATCTTACTCAGTCTCTCCCCAACCCCAAGGACAGTCCCATTCTACAACAGTGGCATCATGTAATATTTGTCCTTTTGTGACTGGGATATTTCACTCAGCATAATGTTCTCCAGAGTCAACCATTTTGAATAATATTGCATGAGTTCCTTGTTTTTTAATGCAGCATAGTATTCCGTTGTGCGAATATACCACAGCTTCTCTAGCCATTCGTTTGTTGATGGGCACTTAGGTTGTTTCCAACTCCTTGCTATTGTGAACAAAGCTGCAATAAACATGGGTGTGCATATATCTGCTTGGATGTCAGCTATGGTCTCTTCAGGGTATATTCCCAGTAGTGGAATTGCTGGGTCAAATGGTATCTCTATTTGCAACTTTTTGAGATAGCGCCATACTGCTTTCCACAGGGGTTGCACCATTTTACACTCCCACCAACAGTGAATCAGGGTTCCAGTTTCTCCACAACCTCGCCAGCATTTGTTGCTTGCTGTTCTGTTAAATTTTGCTATTTTGACTGGGGTGAAATGATATCTCATAGTTGTTTTAATTTGCATCTCTCTTAGGGCTAGGGATTTTGAGCATTTCTTCATGTGTTTGTTAGCCATCTGAATGTCGTCTTCGGTGAAGTGTGACCCTCCATTTACATACCATGATGTCCTTCCCCCAGCACTGATGTTATGTATTGTTGAGTTGAAACCAACCCATAGCTGACCTTTCAGCGGGTTTTCAGAGGCAGCAAATTGCGTGAGAGGAGATTGCCCATCTTTATCTACAGAGTAGCTGGCGGATTGAAAACACATACCTTGGGGTTGATAGCACAGCTTCTCACCACTAGGCCACTAACATCCCTCCAGGCACCAGCCCTTCCTAACAACGTGTCCAAAGACTGAGAGACGAAGTCTCACTGTCTTCCCTTCTCAGGAGCATTCTGGCCGCACTTGTTCCAGGGCAGATCAGCAGGTTCTTCTGGCAGATTTAAATTATAGATTTATTACTAGATACAGTCTCCCGGACAAACTAATTCAGAAGGAGGGTGGTCTGTGCCTTTTTACGTGATAAACTTCCTCAGCAGAGCTGATAACCACAGACCCAGAGAAGAAGATAAAAAACTGTTTTGATCTGGTCCAGAAAACAAAGTCATTCTTAGTAAGCGTACCTGGTGTTCTGGTGCTTTTCAGGTGCTGAGCCCAACGATCAAAGAGGAGAAATTCTTAAGCTGGCTGCAGTCTGAGCCACCCATCCTGCTGTGGCTGCCCACCGCCTACCGGCTATCCATCACGGAGGCGGTCACTCACCCGGTTCGGTGCAGCCTCTGCAGCAACTTCCCCATCACAGGACTGAGGTACAGTCACTCAGCAGAATCTGACGGACAGGACAGTCATTGTCCCAATAGGTGTGACATTTCAGCTACCTCGCTCCTGGGCAAAGTCCTGTGACATCGAGTTTCTATGCAAATTTTGTAAATAAACTAGTAGAGAAAGAAAAGGAAAACAAAATGTCCTACAGGACCCATCTTAGTTCATCATAGATTCTATTTTGTCTTCATTGTTGGTAGAATGTTACATTATCTCACTGTTACAACCTCCTAAAAAATAAGAACAGTCAAGATTTTTATTCTCTAAGGGGAAAACCTTTTTTGTCTTTTGTTTCTAAAAATACTTTGGAGCTGTTAATAAAGATAATAGTCATACTAGTAACAATCTAAAGAGTCAGAGTCATTGCTATGGAGTCAGAACTGACTCATGGCTGAGCCGCCAGCACAATTTTGGAGGCCATAAATCACATGGGAAGAAATTGCCCATTTCTTCTTCAGGTCTCTGGTGGATTTGAACCACCAGGAAGGTGTGGCTTTTCAGCGAGCAGTGCGGTTCTCTGTGGATTATACCACTGTAAAGAAGAATATTATTGCTATTATATATCTGTGAGTTGGAACCAACTCATAGCTGCTCCCCCCTGCCCCTGGTGAGTTTTCAGAAGCTGTAAATCACATGAGAGATTACCCATCTTTCTCTCATGGAATAGCTGGTGGATTTGAGCTCTGTGCCTTTGGATTAACAGCACAGTTCCTTACTTCTAGGTTACCAGAAATCATTGTTGTTGTGGTGGTGATGTGCCATCGAGTCAGAACCAACTCATAGCTGACCCTCCAGCAGGTTTCTAGAGGCAGTTAATCCCATTGGAGGAGATTGCCCATCAATAGCTTATACGGATTAATGTTAATCAGTGCAGCACTGAGTGATGTACATGAGTCATTTTGTGTAGAAATCAAGCTATAAAAAGGTGAAATTATTATTCATTATTATTATTCCAAAGTATAAAGGAGGATATGGAGACTTCTTGTTATGTGCCTCTCCTGAGCCAGTCTCGCTGTCTCTGACACACCTAGTCTCTAGGGTTAGCAGGTGGCTAAGGCTGACAGTCTGAATCCAGAATCTACTCTTGTCAGTCACAGTGCTACACTGTCTCCCCCTGCAGGTAGCTGAGCATGGGAATTGGGAATTTTCTTTTTTTTTATTAAATTTTATTAGTTTTAATGAACATTTACAGAGATTTTGGGTTTTCATTCATTCATTGTTGCACTGTTTTCTCCACCCTCCTCCCCAGTTCGTTCTTCTTCCCCCCCCCAATGTCTGTTTTAATTGTCCAATTGCCACAGTGCTTGTCAAAGCCAGTTCTGATTAATCTCCTTTGTCAGTGTGTCCCTTGCCATTCCCTATCACTCCTCCCTGAGAGAGACTTCACCCTGATTCATAAGGAAAAGGGGATGGCGTATTCTCTTAGCTACTTCCTGCTGAAAAGGGATGCTGTGAGTTTCAGGGTGAAGGTCTTCTCTCACTACTCTAAAGGGCCCCTTTGGCAGTAGGAAACACATAGACTATTATGGAGATTGATTTTGGAATTTAGATGCACTGTTATCAATTGTGCTTAGCCGTACATGCTCATATCCTTGAAGATGTATCATGGAAGTGTTGCAGCCTTCAAACTGCAAAGCAGCAAGATGTCCTTCCTTTATCTTGAGTTTCAGCTCATTTTTTCTTTGCATCTCAGTGATTTCCTCTGGGGTGGCTAGTACAGGTGATGATTCTGCTACAGGTGGTGATTTACCAGAATTGCTGAGTCAACCCGAGGGCAGGACAGTAGTGATGCAGCTCCCGCCCGGGGGAATTGGGAGATTATGAGAGCTCAGGGCCCTTGGGCTCCTAACACGAAAGGGAAGATGGGAACTTTGATTTAGGGTTTAGGTGATGGAGACCTTTACACAGCTTTGAAGACGTCATTTGCAATCCCATCTTGTGGAAAGGGAGAGAAGGACGGGGAGGGAGGGAAGGAGGAGGAGACTAGGAAGGGAAGGTCTTTGCTCACTTTCTAGTTGTGATAGAAGTTGCTCTTCCATTTAATGGGCAGATATCGCTGTCTGAAGTGCCTCAACTTTGACATCTGCCAGATGTGCTTCTTGTCTGGTGTTCACAGCAAGTCCCACCAGAAGTCGCATCCCGTGATTGAGCACTGCGTCCAGGTAACGTCTAACGCAGCATACGTACTAGTCATGAACTGAAGCAGTAGACACTGCAGAGTTAAAGGACTTCTCCCCCAGTAAAGCTGTACGTTCCACCTCTGCCATGTCCTAAAACCTTTAATGAAGGAAATGGCCTCCAACATCTTTCTTTGCATGGTGGTTGTTGTTGTTTGGTACGATGGAGTCAAACAGCTCCAGCTCTATGTACATCAGATCAAAACCTCAGTCGATCCTGCACTGTCCTACAGTCACTACTGTGCTTAAATGTGTGTTTACAGTCATCGTGTCAATCTAACCCCTAAAGGGCCTTGTTTTATGACCCTCTGCTTTTTGAAGCTTCTTTACACAGTAGATGTTTATAAATTTTTTTTTAGGAACAACAGAATATCTGAGCAGAATTAAAGGGCTAGAGACAATGGGAGATGGGAAAAGATAGGGGGGAATAAAAGAACAGTTCTAATCAGAGAAAGAAAGGAATTGATATACTAACTTACCAATGGGTGCGAGCATGTTAGAGATCAGGAGGATGGCACAATATGGCAAAAGGTTTAGGTGGTTTTTTTCATAAGCTTACCATGAGTTTTAGTTTGATGGCATATAACAACAAGTTGTTATTAGGTACTGTTAAGTCAAGTTCAACCCATAGTGAAGCGATGAACAACAGATCTGAATCCTGTCCTATCCTGTGCCATCCACACAATTACTGACACATTTGAGAACAGCCTCTCTTAGCAACAGGCCTGAAGTATATGAGATGACACTTTATTATATTTGCCTGCAAGGAATATCCTAAGTGCACTTACTACAATACATATTTATTTGTTCCTTTCAAAGTCCACGAGCTATTCAGTCTTCTTGTCCAACACCAAAACTCAAAGGCATCAATTCTTCTTCTGTCATCCTTACTCATTGTCCAACTTTCAGACTCATAGCAAGTAATTGAAAAGACCATGGCCTAAATCAGGCATACCTTTGTCTTCAAGCTGATACCATTGCTCCTCATTAATTTGGAGAGGTCCCTGAAAGCAGACTTTCCCAGTGCAATAAATCCCCTGATCTACTGATTGCTTCTACCAAGGGTATTGATTGTGAATCCAAGTGAGATGATATCACTGACAACTTCAATCATTTCTTCATCTGTCATGATGTTGCTTCTTGGTAAGAATTTTTATTTTCTTGAAGTTCATATGTCATCCATATTGAAAGCTATATTCTTTTGTCTTCTGCAGAGAGTCCTTCAAGTTCTCCTCACTTTAAGTGAGCAAGGTTGTGTAATCTGCATAAAACAGGTTATTGATGAATCTTCCTTCAATCCTGATGCCACATTCTTCATAGATTCCAGGTTCTTGAGTAACTTGCTCAGTGTACAAATTGATCAGGTATGGAGAAGGATTACAACCCTGATGGACTCCTTTCTTAATTTTAAACCATGAAGCTTTCTCTTGCTTATTGTTCACACAACAGCCTCTTGATCAAGGTACAGGTTTCACATGAGCATAATTAAGTGCTCTGGGATTCCCATCCTTCTTAATATTAGCCATCATTTGTTGTGATCCACACAGGCAAATGCTTTTGCATAGTCAATAAAACATAAGTAGACATTCTTCTGTTCTTACTTCCAGCCAGGATCCATCTGATAACAGCAGTGATATCCCTGGTGTCATGGCTTCTTCTAAATCCCCCTTGAATCTCTGTCTATATACTGTTTTAGCCATTTTTTAAATGATCTTCAGGAGTATTTTGCTTGCATGTGGTATTAATAATATTGTTTGATAATTTCAACATTCTGTTGGATTATCATTCTTGGTAATAAGGACAAATATAGATATCTTCCAGTCAATCAGCCAAACACCTGTCCTCCAAATTTCCTGACGTAGACTGGTGAGTACATTCAGGGCTCCATCTGTTAATTGAAACATGTCAATCAGTATCCCATAGATTCCTATGGCCTTATATTTTGCCAATGGCCTCAGTGAAGCTCCTGCTTCTCCTTTCACCACTATTGGCTCTTGATCATACAGTACTTTGTAAAACTTTTGGTACTGTGATTGTGTGTTCTCTCCATCTTCTTTTGATGCTTCCTGGATCATTCAACATATTGCCCATAGCATCCTTCAATATTGTGACTAAAGGTTTAAAATTGTTTTTTAGTTTTCTCAGCTTAAGAAATTCTAAGTAAGTTCTTCCCTTTCTATTCTCCAATTCTAGCTCTCTATACATTTCATTACAATACTTTGCATTGTCTTCTCAAGCTGTCATTTGAAATGTCTTTCTTAATCAGCAGCCCTTTGGTGCCTGGGTCTTCTTATCTGGGGTATCTATGATCTAGAAGTCAGACCTATTTGAGCAGCACTCTTGTGTCTCTGCAACATAAAAGATTGAGCAGAGTCTTCCATGTAACTTTAATATCTATATCTGGGAGGTTATCCCAGCATGCCAGGCATGAGTGTCTACCAGAACTCCTCAATACACTCCCAGAAGCACAGTCTTTCATGTCTGTGCAGGCTTCAACTATGCCTGATTTGCTATTACAGATACAGTGCTAATTTGCCAGTTTTTGTATTAGGGGAATTAATTGTTCCAGTTAGTACAGCAATTGTCTGTCAGTTTGCTGTACTTAGGTAACTTGTGGGTTGCTGTGATGCTGAAAGCTATACCACTGGTGTGTCAAAATGCCAAAAGAGTCACTCATGGTAGATACGTTTTAGTAAGAGTTCTCAGGCTAAGACAGACCAGGAAGGAGGATTTGCCATTCACTTCTTACAAGACAGAGGAGAAAGAAAAAACTGGCATGGATTTCAGAAGAAGACTTTGAAAGTTGCACTCAAGTGTGGAGAAGCCAAAGCGAAACACAACGACGCTGAAGTAAAAGAGCTGAAGAAAAGATTTCAAAGGACAGCTTTCAAAGACAATTAGAACAAGAGTTCAGGAAAATTATGCATTTGGCAAAGTCTTAATTATGCAGGAAACTCAGGCCTTTGGCGCTAATATATTTTTGAGAATTAAAAATAAACAGCAACAGGGATCTCTGGTGGCCTTGTGGCAAGAAGCTACATGCAACCCCAGGGAAGTGCAGTTCAAATCCACTGGATGCTCTGCTGGAGAAGGAGGGGCAATCTCCTCCTGTGCCAGTACGATCAGATTCGACAATACACAACAATTAAAAAAAAAAAAAGCACCCCCCCTAAAAAAAAAAACCCAACAAATCAACCACAATGTGTTTTCCATTTTCCTAAATTTCTGTTGTCTTCTTGTTGTAGAACTTTTTCATTTGTGGGAGAAAAATATTACCATTTCATTTCATTTTTGAAAGTATTATACCTGTATTTCAAGTGAGATGTGTATGTGTGTTTTAAGAAAATTATATATGTCCAGCAAGAGACTTTCACACTCCTTCCACTTTTTTCTTTAGAATAGTAAGAAACAAGATAGTAATTTTAAAGCAAATAACATGTTAATTTTATTCAGAAATATCTTTTTTCCATTACTGTTCTTATGACTCAGTCTCTCCATACATGATGTTGTTATTCTTATGTGCCCAAGTTGTCTGCAACTTATAACAACCCTATGTACAACAGCCATAAACCCTGCTCTATCCTGTGCTAACCTTATTGTCTCTGATACACCTAGCCCCATAACCCAAGTCACTGAATCAATCCATCTCTTTGAAGGTCTTCCTCTCTTATGCTGTCACTCCACCCTCCCAAGTATTATGTCCCTCTTCAAAGACTGATCTTGCCTTACAACATGTCCAAAATATGTCAGACAAAGCTTCAGAATCCTTGCCTTCAAGGATTAACCTGGCTTCATCCTCTCCAGGACAAACTTGTTCACTCATGGTATATAGAATACTCTTCTCCAGCACCACAGTTCAAAGGCATCAGTTCTCCTTCTATCATCCCTAGTCATTGTCCAGCTTTTTGATGCATAGCAAGTAATTGCAAAGACCATGGCCTGTATCAGGCATACTTTAGTTTGCAGACTGACATTGTTCTTCTTCAGTACTTTGGAGGGGTCTCTGACAGCAGATTTTCCCAGTGCAATTCATCTTTTAATTTCCTGGCTGCTGGTACCAAGAGTGTTGATTGTAGAGCCAAGCAAACTGACCTGTCAACAATCACAATCTCTTCACCATCTATCATGATGCTGCCAATTAGCCCAGTGGTGAGAACCTTTGTTTTCTTGATGTTGAGCTTCAATCCATATTGAAGGCTTCAGCTTCAGTCTTTGGCCTTCTGAAGCAAGCACCTCAGGCCCTCCTCAGTTTCAGCAAGCAGGGTTGTGTCATCTGCATAACACATATTGTTGATGAGTGTACCTGCAATCCTGATACCACATTTTTCCTCATAGAGCCCAGCCTCCCAGATGATCTGTTCTGCATATAGATTGAAAAGATATAGAGATAAGACACATCCCTGACACACACACTTCCAAATTTTGAACCATGCAGTGTTTCCTTGCTCTGTTCTGATGACTGCCTCCTGATCCAACTGTAAGTTTTGCATAAGTGCAATCAAGAGTTCTGGGATTCCCATTCTTCCCAGAGTTAGCCACAGTTTCTTACCATGACACTGAAGGATCTTGTTTGTTACTTTCACTGAAAACCGTCACTTCTGTCTCTCCTTAAAGTGAAAGACCTAACACAAGTTATGTGTCAAAATGCTGCCAAATAATTTTGGAGGAGATTGCTTGCTATTATATATATATAATATATATATACTGATTATCCCAGCCCACCCAATTTCTTTCCATTCTCTCACTTTGGGGGGCTTATCAGATATTGTGAGAGTGGTTGCATTACAGAGCAAAGTTCAGATCTATTGTTCATAGTGTAGCTTTGACAGCACCTGACAGCAACAAAGCCAAGTAGCACCTAACAACACCACTCTGATTTCTGAAAGCCTGAGAAGAAATAGGGGTTGTCAGTGTTTCAGTGAAAGAGCTCTGGTGGTACAGTGGTTAAAAACTTGGCTCCTAACCAAAAGATTGACAGTTCAAACCCACTAGCCACCACAGAAGAAAAATGTGGAAGTCTACTTATGCAAAGGGTTGTTGTATGTGCCTTTGGGACTAGTATGACTTATAGTGGCCCTAGTGATAGCAGATCTAAGCCCTGTCCTATCTTGTGGTGTCCTCCTCATCTCTGGAGCACTTAAACCCGTTCCTACCATGACTGTGTCAATCCGTCTTGTTGGGAGTCTTCCTCTCCTTTACGGATTCTCCTCCTTTTCGTGTAAATCCTTTGCCACAGAGCTTAGTTAGAATTGATGTAGGTATTTTTTTATGTTAGCCTGCCACCATGTGGACACTTTGCTGTTAGCACTTTAAATTTCAAGTGTAGAAAGGCTTGAGGAGGCATGCAGGACCTCAGCTTTGACAGCACCTAACATTAAGTCCATTCAAGGAAGTAAAGCTCATGTTTAGGCCGACCTGGCACCCTCTGAACACTGCAGATTTCAGCCAAGGAGAACACAAAACTCCTGCTTAGGACGCTTCGAAACAACCTGCTCCAAGGACGCTGCAGGAGAAAGGAAGCAGAGAGGAGGCAGCGGCTGCTGGCCCAGGTGGAGCCCGAGGGCGTGGCTCACCATGCACAGGCCAGGTAAGTGGCTTCTGTGAGAGTGACTAGGGACCTGGGGATTGGACTGTGCAGCCTGCTCAGGGAATATGTGGAAAGAAGGCAGCAGGGAGGGGTGAGGGACAGTAAGATGCTTCTTTCCCCTAGAAATGACCTTTCATTTTAAAGCAGACCTGAGAGACAGCGGAATCCCTGGGTGGTGTAAGTGGCTAACAAGTGCAGCTGCTGACATAAAGGGTGAAGACTAGAATCGACCAAGGTGCCTTGAAAACCCTCCAGAGGGTCAGCTGTGGGTCAGTCCTGACTCGATGGCACACAACAACAACAATAACAACAACAACAGAAGCCCCTAAGAGGAAAGGCCTAGTCAACTCCTCCTAAGAAATCAGTAGCAATGTCTTTAAATTAGCCATCTGAAGATTGAGTGACTTTTTTTTTCCAACTGTCATCAGAAAGACAAGAGGAGATTTTAAATATCGTCATAACTTTCTTCTGTAGGACAAGGTTATTGTTGGTTTACTTTTGAACCTTAATGCAGAGTTAATATTTTCTCTAAAAAAGGAAAAGAAAGGTACCCATTATCCCACGACTCACCTCAAGTACAAGAGAGCTGCTCACCAAAGTAACAAGCTCGTGTAGGAGTTTGTGGGTCAGCTTACATATTGATGAGTTCAGAAATTCTCATTAGAGGCTGAGTCAAGAGGAATGAGTGTGTAACATTACCCACTTCACAGTGTGATAAGAGGAGGAAAGTACTCCTTGATAATCTATTAGGAGGGTCTATGAGTCCTGCTTATTTTCTCAGAGATTAACAGTTATTGCCAAATGGCCATAACGAATTTGTTCTTTGATTCTACAAACATTCCATCTGCATGACATTCAACTTCCTTCCTTTTGATGTAGATTCACTTATCTTGCATGGAGTGTCAAAAGGATGAACAATTAAGTCTTGGAAAAGGGGCAGCCAGGGTGCTGTTTGAAGGCATGGATAGCGAAGCTTAGTCTCACACATACTTTGGACATATGGTTAAGAAGGGTCTAATCCTTGGAAAAGGGCATTATGCCTGGAACGGTGAAGGGTCAGCAAAAGAGGGGACGACACTCAATGAGATGGAGTGACAGGGACTATAGTAGTGGACTCTAGTATGTTAGAGATGTTCAGGATGGTACAGGATAGGGCAAGGTTCACATCCATTGTTCATGGGATCACTTTGAGCCATAATAAACTCAATGGCACTTAATAACAACTGCCCATAATAGCTCATATGGAGAATAATTTACATAAATATAATTAAACACTAAGTGTAGCATTTGACCATTGTTATTAAATATTTTGAAAGTTCTTGTACCTATAATTAATAAGAAAATTAAAGTGTTTAATAAGAAGAGGAAAAATCACTTTCAATTGCAATTAGTAAGATGGTGAACATAAGAACCCCAAGAAACTCTATCAAAAAAGTATTACAGTTAATAGATTTTGAAGGGGATGACATATGGGCACATATGGCTCTTCATTAAACAGTCAAAACCTGTACACTGACCAATAAGCAGTCATTTAAACAGAGCCAGGGGGTACTGCTTGATTTAAATCAGGAAAGATGTGAGTATAGGTTCTATCCTTTCTCCATACATTTCAATCTGTATGCTGAGAAAATCATTCAAGAAGCTAAACTGTATGAAGAAGATTGTGGCATCAGGATTAGAAAAAGACTCATTAACACCTGCATTATGCAATTGACACAGCCTTGCCTGCAGAAAGTGAAGGCCTACAACACTCACTGCAGAAGATCAAAGACCACAGCCTTCAATGTGGGTTACATCTCAACATCAAGAAAAGAGAAACCCTCATCACTGGACCAATCGGCAGCATCATGACAGATGAAGAGAGTGAAATGGTTTCATTAAGACTACAATCAATGCCAAGCAGCAGTCAAGAAATCAAAAGACATATTGCCTTGGGTAGATCTCTTCTCAGACAGCTCTTTGAAATGCTGAAGAGAGGGATATCAGCTTAAAGATTAAGGTGTACATAATGCGAGACATATTTCCAGTTGCTTCTTATACATCTGAAAGTCATAAAGATGACGGAAGAAGCGTTGGTGCTTTTGAGTCGATGTTGATGAAGGGCATTGAGTATCCCATGGACTGCCAAAAGAGCAAACACATCTGTCTTGGAGGAAGTAAAACCAGGATGCTCTTTAGAGGCAAGGATGAAACTTTGTCTCACATACTTTGGGCATGTTTTCAGGAAGGGCCTGTACTTGGGAAACAACATCATTCTGAGAAAAACAAGGTTCATGAAAGACAGGAATATCTTCAATGAGACACACTTACACAGTGACTACAGCAAGAGCCTTCAGCCTGGTAGATAGATGGGGATGGTACAGGATAGGGCAAGATTTTGATATTTTGTGTTTAAGGTCATTCTGCAGCTCAGAGGGAGCTCTAATGGCCTGGTGGTAAGGAATTGCACTGCTAACCCAAAGGTAGGCAGTTTGAATCCGCTTATTCTAAAGGAGAAAGATGGGCCATCTGACAAGCCATTGGAGGATCAGCTGAGTTGGATCTAACTCAATGACAGTGACAAAGAGACAATTCATAGTAGTCAACTCGATGGTATCTAACAACAGTAACAATGTCTAAAATACAGATTTTTTTTAAAAATTATTTTACACTGGTTTATATACAAAGTCCATGAAGTTCATATACATTGTTTTACACACCATATATTGATGTATTGCATTTAATTTTTTATAACTTCTGGTTTTTCTAGATTCATGTATTCTATATCTCTGTTACTAATGGATCTTTGCAGCTGTTTTATCTCATTTTGAATGTTACCACATAAGCAAATGTAGATCCTTCGTTGGGTGAAAGCTTTATTCCATCTATGCCATTAAAGTAGGCTCTGCTTCAAGGGGGCAGCCCTTGTCCAGTCATATTTTTAATGCCTTTCAACCTGGAGGCTTCACCGTCAGGCACTATATCAGACAATGCTCTGCTGCTTTTCTTGGAGTTTTCCTGCGAGCTTTGGTGGCTTAGAGGTAAGGAGTTCTGCGGTCAACCCAGAGGGACATGGTTTGAATCCACTAGCTGTTCTACAGAAGTAGGATGTGCAGTTTCCTCTCATGTGATATACAGCCTCTGAGAGCCCGCTGGAGAATCAACTGTGGGTTAATTATGACTCAATGGTACATAACAACAATATTCTTTCAGAAGTGGATGGCCAGTCCTATTTCCTAGTATGTCTAGAAGCTCTGCTGATACCTGTTTCATAGATGAGCCTGCTGGTATTTGAAATATTAGTGGCATAGCTTCCAATACCACAGCAATGCACCAGCCACCCCAGTATGATAAGTGAGTGATGGTTGGGTATAGATATAAATGAAGCTTGTTTAGAAAAGTAATATCTAAGAAACTGAAAAATATGTACAATTGTATAAGGAGCTGATACAACATGAGGATGGCTGAGTCTGACTTCTAGAAGGGGAACTGTCTATCTCTATCCGTAATATCTATAGTATCAAAATAGCTACAAGGTCAGACATACCACTTGCCATGCTCCTGCACTTTTTCTACCTATCACTGGGTCCAGTGTTCATTGCAAGACTCACAGACTTTACTCACAGTTATGGGGTTTATTAGAGAAATAGGTTGGAGAATGAGGGGGGCAAAGATTATCACACAATGAAAGACCAGGTTTATTACAGCAATCCCAAACCAGATTAACAGCAAGACACAATTCTTCAATTAGTGAAAGACACCTTCTCAGAGGACCAGTGAAAATCTAGGATCAGTTCAGAAATACAAATGCAAAAAGCCTCTGCTTTCTTCAGTCACCCAGAACACTTTATAAGTTATAAGTCAACTTTTCCTTCAGTCATCCAGCAAGCAAAACATTTCAATATGGCCAACTCCAGGTTTCCTCCAGTTTATCTCAAAGCAGTGCCACAGTTTTTATAGTCTCTACACCATCATGGTCACCTTCTCTCACAGTGTGAAAGTGCTCTCTCTCATATATTGGTCTCACAGCTGTTGATGATTTGAAGACCATATGTTTATGGTTAAGTTACTTGAAGTTCATTACCACCTCCCAGCAAGGGATGGCTAAATAAGCCAATTTTCAAGGACCCTGACACCTCACAATATTCAGTCTTTGACATTGTATTTTATTTTAAATTTAGCTTATAAGAATGAAAGCATCACTACACTATGATTGAGGATATTTATTTTGGAATTCAAGGACAAAGAAAAAAACTGGAAACAATTTTCATATCCATTGGTAGTAAAATAGTGAAACACATGTGATACAGCTGTATCGTGAAACATGAATCCATTTAAAAGAGCACATTTTATCTTTATCTACCATATCAGAAAGTAGGCACCATTAGATATTAAGAGTGTGTGTGTGTGTGGGGGGGGGAGGTGACAATATAATGTGTGTGCACTGACTCCACTTTTGTTTCAAAAATTCAACCTGCCTTTTGATATTTATAAATATTTTTTAAGTACAGAAAATGGAACAACTGTAAATTATGAATCGTATTTCAAATAGCATAAAAGTTGGAGAATGTGACAAAGAATATGAGTCACGTGTTTTTCTACTCTAGAATGCCCACCCTTTAATTTTATCATTAAACATATGTCAGAATAATTACTTTTTCTCTATATTGTCACTACTGTTTGTAGAAATTTCCACATTAGATTCTAACTGAATAGTAGTAAATGTGACAATTAATTAAAAATACACTCTCCATGAGCAATTATAGGACACATTTGTCTCTTATATGTTACTTCTAAATATAAAAATTGTAAGATACTTTAAAATATTTTAATAAAGCAATGTAATTGTATGAATGGCATTTCCCAGACCTGAATCAAGTTTAGTTTATTTTATATTCTTTCAGATATCACAAAATAAATACACACCTGCTATTGGAATCTCAAACATCTGACCTGGAAAAGATGACCTGGGAGTTTCTGCCCTCACCCTGAACTGCTATTCATTCTCCTTTCTAGATTGT